TTTTGGATGCTGACATCACACACTGTTGACTCACACTGAGTTTGCATTCTACTGAAGTCTTAGGTCTTTTCAACATAAAATGATATCTAACTTTGTCTTTTCTGTACTGTATGAGTGTAACTGCTTGAAACGGCAGGACTATAAATACATTCTTCCCTATTAAATGTTTAGTTAGATCTGGCCCATCATTATAGCTTGTCAAGACCGCTCATGATCCAGGCACCAACCCTCCCAGTTTCATTCACCTACAAATCTGCTATGTACTAGCATCTGTGTCCTCAGCTAAGTCACAGATAAAAATTCAGAATAAGACTGAGTCCTATAGGTTGTCATTAGGACCCTAACTCCAGGCTGACATAGATCCATTTATCAAATTTCTTTGGATGCAGTCATCCAACCAGTTTTAAATCCACCTAACCATGTCACCTGTATTTCTCTACCTTGTCCACAAAGATATTTCTGTGGATATTGATACCTTGTTGCATTTCCCTTATCTACCTGTGCAGTGATTTTCTTAAAAAAAAAAGTTAACCTGGTATGACTTCTTAGTGAATCCATGCTGGCTTTTATGATCAAGATTTATCTTTTTCAATGCTGATAAACAATGTTTAATAACCCATTATAGAATTTTGTCAGCAATCAACATCAAGCTCACCAGCCTAGAATGTTAACAGAGATTTTTAAACAAATGTGCTAGAATAACAGCAATACACTTATTTATTTATGTATTTATTTTTGGTTAGGCAATGGGGTTAAGTAATTTGCCCAAGGTCACACAGCTAGTAAGTGTTATATGTCTGAGGCCAGATTTGAACTCAGATCCTCCTGACTCCAAGGCTGAAGCTTTATCCACTGTGCCACCCAGCTTCCCCGAATAACAGCAATTTAGTACAGAGTTCACGCATTCAGGTACAATTTTATTGCAGAAAATGAAGAGCTAAGACATGGTGTCTACAATAAATAATTTTGGCTCATTAATCTGCAGAGTATTAAAAGGGAAATGAAATCAATCACTTCTCCAATGACGTCATCAAAGAGAACTTAAAGAACTTCAAAGTCACTTACTTGCATTTCAAGATTTGAGCCTTCTTAAAGTATGTGGGTTTTGTTAAAAAACATATATTATTAAATACATTAGGTTAACCTAGGTCCTGGGTCCCATCCAAGTGAATCATGAAGGAACATATGTTCTGTAAGAAGCTACTTATGGAAGTTTAATAACTCTTTAAAGAATGCCCCCTCTGAGATTTAGTTTCCTCATCTGCAAAAAAACAGAGTCAGACTAGATGACTCTTCTAACTCTAAAGCTATGATCCTATGGTCACAACTATCTCCTTTCCTTAATCAGTCTCACCAAATTGGAATGATGTAACAGTAAGACAGTGCAACAGTAAATATTTATCAGATACTTACTATGTGTGGGGCACTCTGACAGCTGATGGGCACACAAAGATAAAGAGGGATGTTGGAGTGTGTCTACAGGAGGAAGATGGAAAAGATTTCTGACTGTCATCTTCCAAATATCTGAAAGCCTTTCATGCGGAAAGGAGTTACCCATATTAGATGGGGTAGTCCCTGCTCTTAAAGAGCTTAGCTGTGCAGGTGGGGGCACAGCATTTATAAGGAAAAGCAAATATAAGACAATTTGAGGAAGCAGAAAACGCTGAACAACTAAGGGGATCCAGAAAGTGGCATTTTGAAGAAAGCTAAGGATTCTAACAAGTAGACGTGAAGGAGTGCTTTTCAAGCATACAAGATATCCTGTGTTAAAGTATGGAAGCTAGAAATGGAATGTCTAGATTTGCAGAACAGCTACCTACACAGAGCTCTCGTTTATCTGGAATTTTTGAATGTAAAAGAAAAGCAGGGCCCAGGGTCCACAAGTTGAGGTGGGGTTGGTAAACAGGCAAGGCCTGGAACAGGAGGCACAGACTTAATGAAACATCTATTTTACTATATTCAAGGAATTACCATTCTATAAGTGAACACAGAATGAAGACACTGCATTGACCTATCACTAGTACTCTGGACTCCAGAAAAAGTTGTGATATATTCCCCCAAAGAACCCATATTTCACATATGTGGGTCATGCATGATCCAGATGTGATAACATATTAAAGTATATATGAACATGAAAACTTTTCATATAATACACTCACCTAAACAAACAAAAAGTGTAAAACTTATTCACCATTCACTTGACAAGGCTTTTACTTATCTTCTGTCAAATCCTACTTTTTATTAGTAAAAAATGCAATTCCAGTTGTCTTTCTAAACAAAGGTTTCAGAGACCATTCACTTAGCTTAAAGGATAAAACTTTTAAAAACATTAAACTTTAAAGCACTAAAACTTTACATTCAGAATTAAATGCAATGAAATTGGCTAAATTTCAGTATGTGCGGAGAAGCGTGAAAATTCCCATTCAATATTTTTGTGCTCATTGGAATTTTAAAGCCAGATCTGTTTTTCTGGAAATATTATATAATTTGAACAAAACTGTTACAAAGAACTGCTTTATGCAATTTATCTAACTAAAAGGACCCTGTCAGTTTCTTAAAGTCTAAGCAACATGTTCCCTCAGATCTCATTTGATTGTCAGCAAAGATCTGATTACTTAAATCAGCATCAAATTATATTGTCATCTCTCTAATATGTGTAAAAATATCTTAAATAAGAATATTAACATAGTTAAATAACTAGAAAAAGTACGATGGACATGAAAGCACCTGGTATTCAAAACTGCAAAATGGAGCTACTAAATTTTAATTTGAAAGTATTACTAAAACCAAGTTTGGGGTAATTAGAAGCTAGAATTTTCTTCTCATATAATTATTAAAATTATGTTCCCCCCCCCATTGGAATAAACAGTATTATTTTCACACTAGAACATAAAATCACTCTCCCTGGATGATTGGGAGCAAGGAGCCCTAGGATCAGCCCTAGAGTCAGTTGTCTTATTTATTCATTCTTTATCTACTTAAGAGATTGAGATGTTTAAACAGATTGAATCTGTTTAAATATCTCAATTTTTAAAATAGGTAATGAAAATATAAGACTTTAAAACGAAGGCGGTTCTAGGGCTAACAGATGACACTACCTCTCTAAATCTAAGCTCCTCAAGGATCCCAGAGGCCTTGTTTTCTATGTTTCTATGCATTCAACTGGACACTTCATGAATGCTGGCTGGTCGGTCGGTGGGTTCTGATCTTTCTCTACAGGAATTAGTGGGGAGGGAAGGAAAAGACCTCAAGATAACCTCAACGTAGCTAAACGGGGCACTAATACAAGTCACTCTTTAACTGTACAGTTTTCCTATATTGAAAACCTATAGTGAAGCACCTTAAGGGGATGGGGTGCGGATCAATGGTTTAAGGGGGAGAGGGGTGTTTCCACCAAGTATTCCAGCAGAGTCTAGGAAGGAAAGCAGCACTTGAGAAGAACAGCCTGGTCCAGCCCAGCGTCCACCCGCTCCCGTCTTCCTGGTCCACGTAATACTCGGAGGGGGAAGGGGCCTGCAGAATAAAGGGGACAAGGGAGGTACGGAAGGGAGGCCCAGCCTGCCGCCCCATCCTCGGGCAGGGGCACAAGCCCCTAGTCTAGGCGCCCGCCTGCAGGGTCCTGGAGAGATCCAAGCCGGGGAGCCGCAGCTGGCCCGGCGTCCGGCCGGCAGCGGTGCCCTCAGCGAGTTCCCGTAGGCCTGCCCGAGGGCCGGGCCCTGCACCGGCCGAAGAGACACGGTGCCCGCGGGGCCCCGTAGGGAGGGCCGGGCCCGGGGTGTACGGGCTGAGGCGGAGCCGGTCCACAGGCAAGGCCGGCCGGCTGGCCCAGGAGAGGGGCCGCCGGCCTCCCGGGGGCTCAGGCCTGGGGGCCCAGCTCGGATCTTACCATGATGAGGGCGGTGGTGCGGCGAGCCCGCTCTCCGGCTCCACTGGGCAGAAGGTTAAGGGACCCGGGAGGGGAGGACCGGCCACTCTGGACCTGCCGCTCCCCTGACAGGAGCCACCGCTGCTTCGCTTCTTGCCAAGATGGCGGCCCCGAGCCACGTCTCCAACCGGAAACGGCATGGGTTAAAGGGCAGGGGCCGGGATCAATGGGGGCACCAGTACTCGCCCACCCAGTCTAGACCCATTTGATCTCACACCTCCCGGCTGCCTCCAAACCTGGAGTAAAACATGCCCTTTCTCTCCGTCCCCTTCATTGATCCGATGGTCCCACGTGCCCACCTGGGCTCTGTGGCGCTTTACTATTACATGTTCTTGTCTGCTCACCCCTTTATTTCACGTCCTGCTTCAGCTCCATCTGTGATTCAGTTCAGTTCTATTTAATTCATTTCAACAAATATTTATTAAGTACCCATTGTGTGTATTCAAGTTGCTGTAGGACAAAAGAAGCGGTCTTTGCAGTCGAGGAAGCAGCGAAAGACCCATGTTAAGCAGTTATATTCTGCTTAAGACTTTAGAGAACTGATGCATAGTGAAGTGAGCAGAGCCAGGAGAACAATTTATACATAACGACCATATTGTAAAGACAAACAACTTTGAAAGTGCCTGGCGCTTACTAAATGTTTATTGTCACGAAAGACTTGGGAATTCTGATCAACAAAATGACCAACCATAATTCAGAGGTCTTAACGATGAAACATGCTACCCACCTCTTGAAAGAGATGTGGACTCAGTGCATTTTGGAATTCACAGACACACATATGACATAGCCAATGTGGGAATTTATTTTGATTAACCATACATGTTTGTAACAAGGGTTTCGTTTTTCTCACTTTGGGAAGGGAGAGAGAAAAAGTGAATCTTTGTTTTAAAATAAAATTTATTTTTATTAAAAGGACTTTATTTAGAAAGCCAGCATATTTTAACCTTTTCATAGGACTAAGGACTGCCTGGCAAGCAGTTCATGGTATCTTCGTCCGGACTCCAAACAAAGAATTACTTGTGCTGTGTTATTTGGTGACTGCCATTCACTTTACTTTCAGGGAAGTCATCTACCAATCTCAGCTGCAAAAGAAAAAGAATCTATTCTGGTGCATATATCTCGGAGGGGGAAGATCCGGATCAACTGACACGTCTGGGGAAAGTGCCTACTGGACCATTATCATCCGACCTGGAAGAAGGAATGTTCCTGATACCCCAATTTTTCAGCTACTTCCTTACTTCCCTTAGGAGATTTTTCTGGGTCAAAAGTTTTTCTATTTTCTTTCTCCTTCTTTCTCTGTCTTCCAAAGTTTAGCAGATCCAAGCGGTCTGGCACTTGCCCTTCGTTCATTCTTCCCTGAAAGATCTGCATATCTATTTTAAAAAATCTGATTGACCTGGGAGAAGTTGCACAACCAGCGATCCCTGATCGGAAACCCTGTAAACGGCATTTACAGGTTGGTCTCTGGCCAAAGCGACCATTGCCTGAAGTTGGCCGCTAGATGCCACCATACACGCATTTCCCGAAATTGCCGATGCGCGGGACTGGCTGCCCAGATGGGCTACGACCCTCCTAGGTTCTCCTAGCGGCGCCGAGAAAGCCTCTGACTGGCTGGGGAGTAGGGGGATCCCTAAGTAGGCTAGGCCAGAATTGTCACGAGGTCAAAGGGGAAGGCGGGGAGATCTCGCGATGGCTCCTCTGTCTTAAAGACTGTCAACACGCCGGCTGCTCGGGCTGGAGGCTCTGACAGTCGTTAGGCCTGAGGTGGTGAATCCGGCGCTCTTGGCCCCCAAGTCCTTTCCAAATGGAGGAGACGGATTCAGAAGGACTGCAGGTAACCCACCCAGCCTGGAGAGGCTAGAGAGAGCCCTCCCGCCCTCCAAGCTGCACTACCCGAGAGGACTCAGTGTGTCCATGGCAACCCCTACGGTCTCCATGGCAACAGAGGGCCAGCCCCCTCCCTCGGTGTTTCGGGAGAGACATGTCCTACCTGGGGAGGGGGATGCATTTAGGAGTTCAGGATGGGCCTGAGGGAAAGGGATTCTTCCTCCCTCTGGGGCTCCAACAGGAGACTTCTTCCCTACTACCCCCAGAGATGGCCCCAGGACAAAGAGGGGGGCTAGGAACCCCGTCAGCCTTAAGAAACTCCCAACAGCCGTGGGGGGACAAACTGAGCCAGAGGACATCTCTATGGAAACCCTTGGTCTGGAAAGACCGTATCTTACAGGTTTCTGAAGTGACATTGCTAGTATAGGTGGTCGTTTTACCCCCTCCCCCCAAGCTTCCTTCCTCCCTCCTCCTCCTCCTCTAGCCAACCCCAGAACGTTCCCCTTGATGGGCTGCCTCTCACCATTGCACTGCTTGACTTGTAGCGGAGGAGGAGGGGAGGGGAACTTAAGTGGAGAGTTATACAACTGATGGCTTGGATATGGGAGAGGACCCGTGCTTTTTAGGGGAAATGTAAACTTTGGCAGGCTTATCACTATGAGGCACATAATCATTTCTCTTTTTGCACAGACCAAGGTCGTTGAAAATCAGCCATATGATGAAAGCCTAGAGATTAATGACTCTGAAGAGGTTGCAAGCATTTATACTCCAACCCCACGGCATCAAGGTAAGAAAAGAATGATTCCTCTCTAACTAGAGAACAGGTGGATTCATGGGCATTCTCCAAACAATTAACTTTTTTGAACTTAGAACTTGGTAACGTTAAGGCCAGTTATTTCATATCTCATTTTTCTCACTAGGAAAGAGAGGAAACTAATCCCCACTTCATCTTAAATACTGATGCCAGACTGAGTTTCCTTTACTCCTTTAGCTGCTTTGGTGCTCCTGTGGCAAGTCTAAACACTGCTCAGCTTTTGTTTTTAATTTAATTTAATTTTTTTTTAATTAACAAGAATTTGTTTTCTCTCTCTCACACCTTTCTCCCCCACTGGAAAAGAAAAAAGGAAAAACAATCCGCTTATAATAAATATATATGTGTAATCAAGCAAAACAAATTCTCATATTGGTAGTATCCAAAAATATATCTTATTCTACATGGGTAGTTATCATCTGTCTCTTAGGAGGTAAGTAACATTCCTTATCATGAGTCCTCTGGAGTTAAGATTAACTATGCATTGATTAGATCTTTTTTAAAAATTATTTATTTTTAGTTTTCAACATTCACTTCCACAGAATTTTGAGTTCCAGATTTTCTCCCCACCTCTCTCCTCCCCCCACCCCAAGACAATGTGCATTCTGAATACCTCTTCCCCCAATCTGCTCTCCCTTCTATCATCCCCCTCCTCTTATCCCCTTCCCCTTCTATTTTCCTGTAGGGCAGGATAGATTTCTATACCCCTTTGCCTGTATATCTTATTTCCCAGTTGCATGTAAAAACAATTTTTAACATTCATTTTTAAAACTTTGAGTTCCAAGTTCTCTCCCTTCCTCCCTCCCCACCCACCTTCATTGAGAAAGCAAGCAATTCAATATCAGTAATACATGTATAGTCACGCAAAATACTTCTATAATAGTCATGTTGTGAAAGACTAACTATATTTTTCTTCATCCTATCCCCACCTTCCTTGCAGTTTATTCTGTTCTCTCCTTTGACCCTGTCCCTCCTCAAAAGTGTTTGCTTCTAATTACCTCCTCCCCAAATCTGCCCTCCCCACTGTCATCCCCCCCCTCTTATCCCCTTCCCCCTATTTTCCTGTACGGTAAGATAGATTTCCACACCTAATTGAGCATGTATGTTATTCCCTCCTTAAGCCAAATCCGATGAGAGTAAGATTCACTCATTCCCTCCCACCTCCCTTCTCTGCCCTCCATTGTAAAAGCTTTTTTCTTGCCTCTTTCATGTGAGATAATTTACCCCGTTTAGGTCTCATGAGTTATAAATATTATCTTTCCTTGTAGGAATATAAACAGATCAACTTTAATAAGTCTCTTATGATTTCTCTTTCCTGTTTACCTTTTCATGCTTCTCTTGAGTCTTATATTTGAAAGTCAGATTTTCTATTCAGCTCTGGTCTTTTCATCCAGAATGCTAGAAAGTCCTCTATTTCATTGAATATCCATTTTTTCCCCTGAAGGATTATACTCAATTTTGTTGGGTGGGTGATTCTTAGTTTTAATCTTAGCTCCTTTGACCTCCGTAATATCATATTCTAACCCCTCTGATCCGTTAATGTAGAAGCTGCTAAATCTTGTGTTATCCTGATTGTGTTTCCACAATACTTGAATTGTTTTTTTTCTGGCTGCTTGCAATATTTTCTCCTTGACCTGGGAACTCTAGAATTTGGCTATAATATTTCTAGGAGTTCTCCTTTTGGGATCTCTTTCAGGAGATGATCGATGGATTCTTTCAATTTCTATTTTACCCTTTGGTTCCAGAATATTAGGGCAGTTTTCCTTGAAAGATGATGTCTAGGTTCTTTTTTTGATCATGGTTTTCAGGTAGTCCAATAATTTTTAAATGGTCTCTCCTGGGTCTTTTTTTCCAGGTCAGTTGTTTTTCCAATGAGATATTTCACATTGTAGACTATTTTTTCATCCTTTTGGTTTTGTTTTATAATTTCTTAATTTCTCATAGAGTCATTAGCTTCCATTTGATCCATTCCAATTTTTATGGAATTATTGTCTTCAGTGAGTTTTTGGACTACCTTTTGCATTTGGCCAATTCTGCTTTTTAAGGCATTCTTCTCCTCATTGACTTTTTTGGACCTCTTTAGCCATTTGGGTTAGTCTATTTTTTAAGGTGTTATTTTCTTCAGTATTTTTTTGGGTCTCTTTTAGCAAGCTGTTGACTCATTTTTCATGATTTTCTTACATCACTCTCATTTCTTTTCCCAGTTTTTCCTCTATTTCTCTTACTTGATTTTCAGAATCCTTTTTGAGCTCTTCCATGGCCTGGGACCAATTCATATTTTTCTTAGAGGCTTTGGATATAGGAGCTTTGATTTTGTTTTCTTCTGGTTGTGTTTTGATCTTCTTTGTCACCAAAGTGAGATTCTATAGTCTGAGCTTTTTTCCTCTTGTTTGTTCATGTTTCCAGCCAATTTCTTGACTTTTTAACTCTTTGTTAAGGTAGAGCTCTGCTTCCAATGTTGACGGTGTACTGTCCCAAGTTTCAGGGGTTTTGTGCAGCCGTTTATAGGGACCTATAAATTTTCAGTTCCTCAAAGGTGGCATGATGAAAGGAGAGGTGTTTACTCCTTTCCTGGCCTGTGCTCTGGTCTATGAGATACCACAGGCACTCTTTTCTGCCTTGGAACTGTGAGGAGGATTACCTCTCTACCACCACTACAAGCTCCATTATGCCAGTGCTACTCCTCACTCCAGGACTGGGACCCAGATCCAAGTACGGGCAAAGCCAGAGAATTCTGCCTCAGTGCCGGCAGAGAGATCCCTGCAGTCCCTCTGATGAGCCACTAGATGCCCCCACCATCTGTGGGCCAAGAGTGAGAGCTCTAGATGCAGCCACTGCAACTGTGGCTGCTGCTATGGGGCTGCAGTAGGGCCATGACTGCACTGTGCTCCTTTCTTACCCAGGTCTGACAGACCTTTCCAACTGACCTTCTAAGTTGTCTTTGGCATTTGTGGGTTGAGAAGTCTGGAAACCACCACAGCTGCACGTGATTCAGTCTCTTGAGGCCTGCATGCCTGCACTGAACTGCATTCCTCTTCTAGCCCAGTGCAACAGACCTTTCCTACCAACCATCCAGGTTGTCTTGGGCTGGAAATTTGTTTCACTCTGTCTTTTTGTGGGTTCTGCTGCTCTAGAATTTGTTTAGAGTCATTTTTTTTAATAGCTATTTGAAGGGGTTTAAGGGAAAGCTCAAGCTAGTCACTGCTTTTACTCTGCTATCTTGCCTTCACACACCTCCCCCCCATTGATTAGATCTTAAGTCTTTCAAAATTATTTATTTTTACAATGTTGTTATTATATAAATTGTTCTCCTAGCTCTGTTCACCTCACTCTCATCAATTTATACAAGACTTCCCAGATTTCTCTGAAACCATCCCTTTAATCATTTGTTACTGCACAATAGTATGCCATTATGATCTTATATTATAATTTGTTAAGCTGTTCCCCAACTACTTAGCTTTCAAGACCTTCTAATATTTGACCTTAATTTACCTGTCCAACCTTGAATTATCACTGTACTCAAACAGACACCCTCTTTGTCATACCCATTACTGCCTCTATGCCTTCTTTGGTTTATGTTGGGCAAATCATGTAACCTCCTTGGACCTCAATATCCTCATCTGTAAAATGAGGAAGCTAAACTAGAAGATTCTTAAGGTCCCATCCATGTGAGACCTTACATTTGACTCATGTTCCTACTGTTTTCTCCTTGACCTTTGCCCATTCAAATCCTAGCTATACAAGAAGGCCCAGGTCGAGTCCTTCCTCATTGGTGAGACCTTGCTTAACTACTTCAGTTTTCAGAGTACTGTAGAAAGAGCCCTTAGAGTCATCAGATCTGGATTTGAATCCTGACTTTGACTCTTATTAGTTGTATGATTCCTGGGGAAATCAGCTAACTTCTCTGAGCCTCAGTTTTTTCATTGGTGTAACAGGGTTTTTAATGCTACCTACATCACAGAATGAGGAAAGCACTTTGTAGACCTATATAAGGGGAAGTTGTTCTCTGGCTCTGAACTTCTACCACTTTTATAGTTTGTACCACACAAATCAGCATTGATTAGATACTATTTATGCCTGTCAGATTCAACAGCAATAGGCATTTAAGTGCCTCTGATATGCAAGATCCTAAGCTAGGCACAAGGAATGCTAGGATCAAAAATGATGCAGTCTTTGACCTTTGGGACCTGGGAGAGATGCAACGTGTGTACATGTAGGGAGTAAAGAGGACAAAGGAGAAATCCAGACAAAGTGGTCTAGGAAAACTTAAGGAGGTCAGAACACTTTCATTTATGAAAAGAAATTTGGGGTGAAATTAGTACAGGCTACTGCCAGTTTTGTACAGAATGCCATGCAAAGTGATGGAGGAGATGAAGAGTTTGGCCAAGATTATCTTTGCCCTCCTAGGCCTTCAAGTTTAGTTGCTTCCCCAGATAGAATAAGGTTTATGTCTTATTCTGTTATCTCACAACGTGTTACTGTGTCATATGTAGTATATTGATTATTGTATATTTCTTCATTTTTAGTATCTTTTATTAATAAAGACAAGAGTGGCATAGTGTTTAGAGTACTGAATTGGAGTTAGGAATTCTTGGGATTCAGAGCCTGCCTTTGATGCTTACCAGCTTTATGATCCTTGGCAACTCACTTAACTTTTCTCAGCCTTAAGATTTTAAGTTACAGACAGATTGCCAACTACATCCTATCTGGAGTTGGTTTCCATGCTGTGAAGTAAGGTTTTATTAATGCATTTTGATTTTTACACCACATTCAGTAATACAGTAACCTACCAGTCTCCTAACAGAAATTAAAACTACTTAAGTAAAACCTGCCAGTGCAGTGGTTGTGACCAGTAGAGTATGTAACATTCTTTACCCACTTTCTCTACTAAAATTGATGTGTTCCAACATCAGTTATCATGTGAAACCAATATCAGCTTGATATTGCATTTGATCTTGGTTCTGTTGTCTTTTATA